GTCTTCAGCAACCTTAGAACATATCATTACTTTTATTTCTTTTTATTTTTTTAAAGTTTCATTTATTCAAATAATCTCTATCCCCCCATGTGGGGCTCAAACTCATGACCCCAAGATTAAGAGTCACGCCCACTTCCGACTGAGCCAGCCAGGTGCCCCCGTATAGTTTCTTTTAACTTAGCTTCATGAAAATTTTCAAATGGGTGCATCATGAAGGGGACGTTTCTGTTGTTTTGTAGAAACAAATATAAAATTGGGGTTAAGATTTAAGGCAACATTTATCTACCTATATTGAGGTATCTAGGCACATGCATGTATATATGTGTGTGTGTGTGTTTGTGTGTTGATAATATTCCTTCGGAAATATCTAAAGAAGCCATCCCAAACCAACTTAAAAACACATACAGACTTCTTCATTTTACTGTCAGTCATATTTCCTTCTACATCACACTGGGCTAAGACAAGATGTTTGTTTCATCCACAAGTGCGAAGTCCTGTGAAAACAGAATAAGAAAAAAAAAATAATTTAAAAAAGAAAGATATCATTGAGGCTTTTAGGCTTGTTATCAGAACTCTTTTAGATCTGCCCTCATTCTTTGGGGAAGGTTTGCTTGCATATGTTCTAAAGAAAGAAGTTAAGATACAGTAAAGCTCTTTAATGAAGATGACACTAAATTTGGGTACCTCAAAAGGACTTTTAAAAAGTTGAGATGGGACTCTAGAGCCCTGCTGTGCTCTAGGACAGCACGAGTTACATTTGCCTACTCAAATATAAATTAACTAAAAGGAACAATTCAGTTCCTCAGACACAAGAGCCACATTTCGAGTGCTCAGTGGCCACATGTGGCTAGTGGCTATTGTATAGGACAGTACAGATAGAGAACACTTTCACCACAGCAGGGAGTTCTAACAGACTGCCCTGCCCTAGAAGATCCAGGCTTTGAAGAAGCAATACCAGACCAAATTATCTGAATGAGGGCAGCCCAACACTTGGACCATTTTTGTAATTCCTCTTTGGAAATTGTCCTCAGAGCCCTTACAAGCCATGCCAAGAAAACATCTTATTTCATTTATTCTGAGCATATCAAGTGCCTCCTTAATAGTACACCCCAGGGATTCAAGGAGAAATTAGACATGCCCTTTCCTCTCTATGCCATGACCTACTGGGAGAATAAAAAACTAAGATGTAAGGTAACAGGTGTATAAATGGAAGTGTGTACATTATGCTCTTGGAGCAGAGAGAAAGAAAAATGGATTGTAATTAAGAAAAATGCCTGCTTTGTAAAGAATTCAGATAGATGCTAAATGAGGGGTTTTAAAACTTTGCCTTGAAAGATCACTGACGCATTTTTTAAACAAAGGACTGACACGAAGTTATATATTTTGAAAAGATCATTCCTGTAGGAATTGGAGCAGGTAAAACACTGAAGGTGAGATCAAGGCAATCTAGGGAAATAATTTGGGTTGGAGATCCTGAGGGCCTTGACTAGGTCAATGGCCTTGGAAATCCAGAGTGAAAGAACAGAGGTCTGATTCAGAATTCAAAGCTTGATGATCATCCACTCTATTCTTCAGTTTTGCCTCTACATAACATTGCACAAATTAAAAAAAAAAAAAATGTCAAACTGAGGGCATTCTGAAGAATAAGTTGCACAGATTCAAACAGTATTTCAGTATATTCTGTTTTTATAAAAACAAATCAAGAAACAGTATGTGTGTGTGTAGAAAGATAGATTGATTTTGTAAAGAAAGACCAAGGTCTTGGCAATGATTTGAAGTTGGGTAGGACCCAGAATTTAATATTTTCTTCATTTTGCTAATTTGTATTTTCTTTTTCTGTAATGACAATGTATTGTTTATTAATAAAGAAAAGCTGTTTTTTAAATAATAATTTTTAAAAGCCACAGTCATTAAACCTAAGGAAGAGTTCTAACAATGTTTTTAACAATGCCAACGTGGCTAAAATAGTTTCCTTCGCCAAATTTACTACTACTTTAGGACAACATTCAGTTGAAATGTGAAAAGGATGTTTCCTTTAAAAAAACAAGTTTACTATTTCACAGCCATACCTGCTATACGTAAGATATTAGTTATAAAACACTCTTAAATGACCTGCCAGAACTTACTTTGCTACTGTTCACTGGATTAGTGTTATTCTATGTAATTATAATAGAATGTTATCTATAATTAGGACTTCCATTACCTTGTAATTTGCTCCTTCCCCTTCTTCCATGGAAACAACCAGCTCTCTAACCTCCCCACCCCTCAAACTCCTATTCCCCATAGGTATAATTAATGAGCTTGGTTTTCCATCTGGATTTAGGAAAGTGAAATGTTCTTCCGCCTCACTCCCAGTTTTTCCCAGGCTAATGAGTTTATATTTGGATGCCATCACTGTTGCACTTTTGGCTGACACTTACATAGCTGAACAGCAGCTTCACCACACCTTCATGCAGGCTGGCCAGAGCTCTCAGCATATCCTCTCCACAACCCTCTCTCCCCCACCTGAGCCCCAGAGGCCTGTTTGTGTCGGTTGGGAATGTGCCTCTCAAGGCCACTAGTTCCCCAGGGGCCAACACCCTGCAGTTTTCTATCACCCCCCATCTGGACTCCAACCCCCTCCCCCGAGTTTATGTGCATGAAGGAGGGATGGGGTGTGCCTGAAGAGCAATGTATTTAATAGGAAGTAAAAGAAAACATCAGTGGATTATAATTTGGGGTATGTAACTCACAGGTGAATTAATCAGTGGACTTGTTTAGAAATGGGTTATCTATACTGGTGCAGTAGCAGAAATTAAAATTTTTGACTTGCCTTGTTTTGCCAATATTTAGCCATTTTGTTCTATTGAATGTGACTACATGTACAGACACACTTTTATTTAGTCTCACACATGAAAAGAGAAAGCAGAAGGCATGTAATTCAAGTGGTTTCTCATCCAAGCATTTTTATCACAAATTACTAAATCTAGTTGAAAACAGTCAGAAAAAGGATACTGCCCCCCCCACAAGCTGGTACTCCCCCCAGTATTTGTTCCACCAACCTAGCTTGGCAGCACAGAATATTTTGAATTATAGTTAAAATAAAGGTTTCCCTTTCTAAAACAACATTTGAGTTGTTGCCATATTAAAAGATCAGCAAGCTGACCTGCTAAAAATAGGATGTGATTGTAGATTCCTCTCTATAGGATGAATATTTCAGAGGTTTAAGAAGGAAAGTAAATCCTGAAAAAGAATTCAAGAAAAAAAGAAAGAATAAAGTAATGTCTGTATACATCATTTCCCTCCAAGGCTGTTTAGCACAGAAATACTTTTTCCTGACTGTATGGCACTTCCTCCATACCTTTTACTAATTAACATTTAAATAGGTGATGGCAGCAACTATATTAAAACTAGAAAGCCTGTCTATAAATGAAAGTCAGAATTTAGAACTTAGAAATTAGCTGAACACTAATTGTTATATTCATTACATTGGTTGCTTCAGATCTGCTTGCTACAGATTCTGGGTTTGAAAAATTTAGGCAACCTCATCTCAGGGTGCACTTTAACTAGTACTTAGTTATGCTAATAATTCTGAATTATGTAAAACAGATAACCCAAACATCATCTTCGGCTTTGTTTCAGATATATTTTTGGTTCTTATATTTGGATCTGGGTATGCTCGATCTGAAAATTCACTTAACCTCAAACAAAACAAAGCCACAGCCTAAAAATCTGAACACTTGAAATGTCGAGAAGGTCCCTATTTTTAATAAGCGATACAGCGCATTCTTACTCTCTCCCTTCTCTTCTGCAGGTGTCTCCGCTGCTCCAGTAGACTGAGAAAAGGAAAAGGAGGGGGCGACAAGAAAGGAAAGGAAATTGTGTGGCTTGGCGGGGTGGGATGGGGGGGTGGTGTTAATATTATGATTAAAAGCTTTCCTCTTCAGTTTGAAAGTTCTTACCCATATTAATGATCTGACATTAAGGAATATGAGTCTGAGCAACAGCGGAGTTCGAGTCCGTCCATCTGTAACTTGTAAAAGGAAAGGAACAAAGCAAGGATAGGAGGCAGGAAAGAGATGCAGGGAGAGAGCGAGATGTAGGCGCGTGGGGACGGGAAGGGAGAGGCGGATTTGGCAGTCAAAGGGGGGACGAAAGTAACAGGAATGGAAAGTGTGGCCTGGCCGTGCAGCCCTGTGGTGGAGAAGGTGGAGCCCACGACGTCTCAATTCCCCCCACCCTCAGGTTTTTCCTTTGTAGATGGGGGCTCTCGGCATCTGGAAAGAATTGGTCTGCTAAGAAAGGAAAGGCTGTCGCCTGAGGATGCGCAGGCTCGAGACCGCCTCTCTTGGAGCAGGCGGGCGGGCAGGGACAGCAGGGACAATCAGTGACCCTAAGGCAGACAGTTTTGTGGGCGCTGGGGGTTAAAGGCCACCAGCTCAGTCCCACGGGTCTGGAAGTCCCAGGCCAGGGCCGTCCGCGCAGGCGACGTTGCCGCGCCCACCCCGTGTCAACCAGCGCCACTCGGGCGCTCTCACTCCCGGCCCGACCCTCTGCGGGCCTCGCCTTGTCCCCTCAGTCCAGATCGTCTAGTGCAGACCCCTCCTCGCCGGGTCTGGCGACCGTCGGCAAACATGGCCGCCAGACGTCTGCCGCGGCGCCTCCTCTTCCAGACCTCGGGGGCCGAGGCTGACCGCGGAGGGTAGCCCGACCCGCCGCCCGCGAGCGCGCGGCTGGGCGGGGGCGGCCGAGGCGAGAGGAGGGCGGGGGCAGCGGAGAGCGGCTCGCGGGCCTGGCGCGCGCGGGGGCGACGGCAGGGCGGGGCTTGCGGGCTCGCGCGCGGGGCCCAGCGCGAGCGCGGGCGCGGGCGCGGGCGGGGGCGGTGCGGCGGCGGCGGGTTGGAAGCGGCGGCCCAGAGCCCTCTCGCGGCCGCGGCGGCAGCAGCGCCAGCCCCAGCAGCCTCCCGGCCGCCGCCGCCGCCGCCGCCGCCGCCGCCTCGCGCTCCCGCCGCCCGGCCCGACATGAGTGAAGCGGGTCGGGTGCCCTCGCCCGCCGCGCCGCCGGAGGTGGCAGCGGCAGCTCCGGACGAGAGGAAAGGGAAGGAGCCTGAGCGCGACAAGCTGCCGCCCATCGTGTCGGCGGGCGCCGGAGCTCCTGCGGTAGGTGCCGGGCGGGGGAAGCGAAGCGCCCCGACGGCGGGCGTCGGGAGGGAAGGCAGGGGGCGCCCGGCGACCCCCGAGGCCGCCCGCGGAGATGCGCGGGTCCATCCTTCCCCGAGCCGCAGTGGAGTGTGTGGACAGCCGCGAACACTTCTCGAGAATCGGGAAATGTTGGGGTGGCCGCGTCCGCTGCCTGTTCTCGGTTATTGTCTGGCTTGGCGGGGCGGGGGGGCCACTTTCTCTAAGGAAATGACCGGCTTTTTGTCCACGTTATCATCTGTTGGGTCAGGGCAAGGTAGCAGGCAGGGGGGAGTGGGTTTTCCACCGAGGTGCCTGCCTGCTTTGGGGGAGCGGAGATTCCCCCCATGTCTTCGATTTTCTTTCCCTTCCCCCCTCGGATTGAACAGACTGTGCGGCGAGTTCCACTTAATTGTGACCTTTCCGTTGCTGTCAGGATAGTGGGAGGTAGATGCCTCAGTGATGGTTTTATTTTTCATATGGTACAGACATGTGACGTAAGGTGGGGAGGCTTTTTTAACCTTTTATTTAAACTCAAGTTATCTAAGCTTGACAGGGATGATTTCCCAGCTGGATTTTCTTAAGGATTAATTGGAGAGCGCTCTAAGGCTTCAAACTACATATTGCCAGATGATGTAATGGGACAGCCCCCCTTCCCTGTTTTTACTGGTGGTTATGATTCTGGTTACTTTGGCGCGCGCGCGCGCGCGCACACACACACACACACACACACACACACACACACACAAATTAATCTGATCTTTGAGATTTTTATTTGACATAACATTTAAATACTTTTTGAAAGTTTGCTTGGGTACATTTAAAGGCCATGACTTGTCATGCATCTGTGCTTGACAAAATAGTAAAAGTTTAGAGAACATGATACATTTGCTTTATTCCTACTTGCAACTCATTTCTTAAAACCTCCCTCTTAAATGACTAAGAAGTTACTAAAATAGCTCACTCTATTTAAAGTGTTAGGAATAATGTTTTGATTCTGTAGGTTTTTAAAAAATATCTAGGGACTGTGATAACTGGAAATTGTTAGAACAAGCTCTGATCATTAAATCACTGCAGCGAAGTGTGGACAGTAATAAAATGACACACATATTAAAATATAGCTAGAATTGAGTGGTAAATTGAAGTTGTCTGTGGTTAGAAAACACTTTGGGAGATGCTTTAAAGGAATTTGTCATCCAACTGCTTGCAGACCCAGTTCTTGTGTTGATAACCTAGGCTTTCAGAGTTTATCCAAGACATTCTTAACTCGCAAAAAGACAGTGTTTTTAAAGTTCTTTAAATCAGTTTAAAACAATTAATGAATATGCTTATAAGAAACAATTATATGAATGAGTTTTGGTCCTCGACTGAGCACCCTCCCCAAAACATATTTATCTCAGTTTAACTGAAAAATTGAAGGTTTGGAATAAAAACTTGGAGAAACTGATATACTGTGGACCCAGGTCTACAGACTGTTTCCTGGAAAACTTGGAGTTTGCAAATTTAGAGTTTTTCAGATTTTAGAAAGGCAATTCGGTACATATGTCATATATCTGCAGTGAGATCCTGGCCGATTCTTCATAATCAAGCATGTCAGTAGTTCTGCAGTGAAATATATGTGTATTCACACTATGAGAGGTAAAGTCAGACTTAAGTATAAATAGCTTCATATCCTTGCAGATCAGGTTGGATTGTCAGAGTTCAGGTCAGGTATATGTTTTGTCACCGTATGAGGTACAAAAACCTTTCAGTTTTAATAGCTTATAGGATTTCAAAAGTGTGAATAAAGGATTATGGACTTTTACTACTAGTCAAACAAGAATGGAGTTCAATAGTTTTTTAAAACCTTGAATTAAAGAAAATTGAATAAAATATGTGTTTGGTCCTCCAGAGGGCAGGAGAGCTGGGATGATGTCTGAGATCACCAGCAGGTGGGGAAAGCCTTGGTGTGGAGGGTCACAGAAAAACGATTTGTGGCCTGTTGGTTGTTTTTCAGCCTCCACTGTGGACTAGATGAAGCTTCTGGAGGTTTGCTTAGGAACCTGATTGCCGAAAAAACAACTTTTTCTTTGGGACACTTTAGTGATTCTTTTTGCCCTAGGTGAACAGTTCTATGTGCACTGAGTTTATGACTCAATTAATGTAACCCTGTATTACTGGCTTTTTCTGAAAACCATTCTATTACATTTTTATGGGAGTTTGGAAGTAATTTAGAGTGAAAGCTCCCTAGAATAAATAGAAGGCCAGGTTATGATGCCCTAAGAAAGCTTGAAGAGTTGGGACTATATCCTGGAAGTGTAAAAAAATATACAGGGGTGGGATTGAGGGTGCTGGAAAAAGCAGCCCTGAAGTGATTGATCCTAAGACCACCTAAGTGTGAAGGAAGCCCCTTCTAGCCACGAAGTCCCTAACACAGTGGTGTCAAACCTGACTAACCAGAGTTTCCCTGGTAGCGTGTTAAAATCTTGATTCCCAGATCTCACCTCAGAGCTATGGCTTTCAAACTTTGAAGCAGAGTAAAATCACCTGGGAACTTTTAGAGCCATCATTGTCCAGTTTCAATTGCAAACCAGTTAAATCCATTTCTGTGAATGGCTCTCAGACTTCTTTTAAATTCTCAGATGTAGCTAAGATTGAAAATTCATGCTTTATGTACTAAATTAAGAGCTCCATGAAATCTTGTGTTTTAACTACATTTCTTCAAGTCTACTTAGTTTATGGAACAGCATTTGAAATGGATTGGTGAAAGGTATGGATTGAGTCAGTGAGGCACAGCAGAAATCGAGGGTGGTGAGGGAACTGAGAGAAATGTAGGTTAAAGTGGTTCTAGTTGGAGATGCTCAAGAGGCTCAAGATAGAGACCTCAGAAAACCATCAGGGTGCATAGTTTGGCCTTGCTGTTGTGGAGAGGTGATGCAAGTCCACAGAGTTGAGGAGACTAATGGAAGCAGGACATAGATGCAAAGAGGTGGTGGTGTGAACATTGAATTTACTGAGTTTGACAAATTGGTGTGGAGGAGAATATTGTAAATTAGTTGTTGATATAATACAGAAGTTAGAAAAAAATGGTGAATAGGGAAGAAGAAAATGGCCAAATTAAGAGCAGAAATAATAGTGGCAGAGCACATGGGTGGCTCAGTCAGTTAAGTGACTCTTGGTTTCAGCTCAGGTCATGATCTCAGGATTGTGAGATCAAGCCCTGCATGGGGCTCTGTGTTCAGTGTGGAGTCTACTTGAGATTCTCTGTCTCCCTCTCTCTCCCCCAGCTCACACGAGCACTCATGCTGTCTCTCTCTCAAATAAAATAAGTAAATGAAATCTTAAAAAAAAATAATAGTGGCAAGTGAGGCTGAGTTTGACTGTCTACTTCAACATTTAAATTCGGTGAGCAGGAAAAGGGAGGAAATTCTCCATAGGGTAGGATAGCAAGGAATGAAATGTATGAAATGGGTTCTAGCAAAGAATGAAATGTCTTCAAGCAAGAGCTAGATTTAATTAAGTCAGAGAGGTGAAGGGAAATGGAGGAAACCAGTTTAGGATTTCAAAGGGAAGTTTGCCCACAATGAAGGCCAGAAGACTTGTCAAGTAGGTGGAAGGTGAGGGGAAGGTTTTGAGGGAAATTTCGAAGTTTATAGAGAGGATTTGATAGGAAGTCAGTATCAAGAATAAGTTCATATACATTGTGTCAGGTGTGTGTAAATGGGCTTGGTGAAGCCACTAGCTAAAATATAACTACCAGTTATGGAACATCTATTATGTTTAGCTTTGGACTAGATGCTACAGAAAACACAAAAACATGGTTTAAAAAAAATGCCTGCCTCAGAGGAGGCAAGGCTTACACATGGAAACATAACAAAGCAAAGCAATGTGTATAAGTCACAATGAACCATAGAAACAATTTGCGCTATAGGAGACCAGAGCAAGGAAATCAATGTGTGCAGAACTGTGAAGAAAGGCCTTGAAGTAAAGGTAATTATTTAAGCTGGCGGCCATTGAAGGATGATAGGATTTGGATGGGCAAAAGAAAGTGGGTAAGTAATCCAGTGGGGAAAACAACATGAGCAAGGCTTAAGGAAAAGCATTAGGGAGTAATACAGTGAGCCCAATGGAAGCGTGCTGGGAACTTGTGGGAGGTAAGTAAGATTGCTTGGGGGCTGGAGCCAGATCACTAGGCACAGAAGTATGGACTTTCTCCCCCGCTGTGGTTAGTGGGAAGCCACTGGAGTTGCTTAAATAGAGGAACCGATGAAGTTTTAGAATATAAGTGAGGTTCAGTGGGGTGGAGTCTGGAGCCAACAACCAAGAAAGAATTCTTGAGACGTCGTTGGTACAAATGGTGGTTTATTAAAGCAAGGACAGGACCCGTGGACAGAAAGAGCTGCTGCTGCCCTGGAGCTGTGAGGAATGGTCCATTATATACTTGTAAGTTAGAAGGGGGTCAGGGATGGCTTAAGTCTCTAAGGAATTTTGGCGGCAAGGTTTCTAGGACCCTGAGGGGCTAGCTGTTGTTGGGAAAAGGTCACTTATTACCATCTAATAAAACCTTAATCATGAGACCCTACACATATATATTGGTGGGCCCTATGTTTGGGGATGATTGCCAGCATGTCTCTTGGAGGGTTTAGAGATAAAGGAATTTTCCAAAGGAATTTCCATATGTTAATATAGACTTACAGGATCCTGGTTGGGAAGGTGGGGGGCTTTGCTGTCCGGCTGAGATTGCCTTTTGCCCTTAGCACAGTATTAAGGTGGAAGTAGTTGAGTCCCTAAAGGAATGTCACTCTGCCTGTTTCAAAGACTTGTCAGGGGGCTCTGGATAGTAAGGAAATTTAATAACTTTTCTTCTGCCTCTGTTTTCCACATCAGAATGACATAATGAAATCCATGGTAGTGATTAGTGGTTAGCCTGGAGGGGGATAAGGAGGAGTACAAAGAAGGAGCTTTGAAGTTGGTACCCAAGGTAAATAGGTGCATCCGCTCAGGTGGTGGCCATGTGATAGCAGGAAGAGATGGAAGAACCCACATGATGTGGAACCTTATTAGGCAACAGAATGGAAAAGAGGGAAGATTGATATAAAAAAGGATTCTGCAGTTTCCAGATAAGTTATCTCGGAGAAAAATGTTTACATCGAAAGGCAGTCCAGCCAGTAACATTCCAAATAAACATATGTGTGTGTGTGAACTCATGTAAACCCTGCCCATCTAGGTGTTTGGAACAATCTCATACATGGAGACTCTTATGTCCTTGTCCATTGTGTCCTAAACAAGAGGTGAGACAGGAAAGAGTGAAGGCTATGGTGCCAGAGGCGTTTTAAGCAATTTAATAAACCACAGATATTATAAAAAATATATATGTATATGTTTAATATATATAAGTAATATAAGTAATAGCTAGTATTTGAGTACCTACTCTATGCTAAACATCTTCCCTCTATGTCTTATTTAGTCAGATTGCAACCAAAACCAATCACAACAACCACTATGATGGTGAGGAAGGTAGTCTCATTTCATAGAACAGGAATCTGAAAGTCAGAGAGGTTAGCTGTTCTTGCCAAAGAGTAAAATAGCAAGAAGCAGAGCTTCGTTTAAAATCGCGACATTTTGGGGCGCCTGGGTGGCTCAGTGGGTTAAGCCGCTGCCTTCGGCTCAGGTCATGATCTCAGGTCCCTGGGATCAAGTCCCGCGTCGGGCTCTCTGCTCAGCAGGGAGCCTGCTTCCCTCTCTCTCCCTCCCTCTCTCTGCCTGCCTCTCCATCTACTTGTGATCTCTCTCTGTCAAATAAATAAATAAAATCTTTAAAAAATAAATAAATAAATAAATAAATAAATAAAATCGCGACATTTCTGGTTCAGAAACCCATGCACTTTCCATATACTGTATCTATGGTCTGGACAGTGTGGTTCAAAAAACCTGCACCTGTAGCAATATTTGTTCTTTTTGAATTTTGTTCTTTTTGTGGTCTAGTGACCAGTGACAAGTGACAAGTTCAAAATTTTGTTAACCAGATAGAATTGTTATGGAGGATAAAATGTGTTCTAGGATAGATGATAGTGTCAGTTTTAATGATGGCATGAATGAATGAATTTTCTATATAAAATAAAGCAATTTCATTAAAGAAAAACAATCTGAAAGTCTTGAGACATAAAAAGCAGGGTGATAGCTATATAAATACATATCTAGGGTGTCTCTAATTTTGAGTGGGTTGTAAAGTCTGTTTGTCAATTTTTTTTTTTAACTGCACAGCCATTATGTCATTGCCTGCTTATTCTCTCATTCATAACTAATTCAGAATGTTAGGACACAAGTGCTTTGACTAAATGTAACAATTGGAGAAAAGCGGTCATTGTAAGTTGTGAGCAGGACACCTCCAAAAGTGCCCTGGATGATACTGAACCCTCCTCATAGAGTAAGTGAGAAGACTAAATTAATACACATAGAGCATTTAGGAAAGAGCCTTGACAAAGTGAGCACTCAATAAATGTTGGATGATGATATTTTTATTATGTTGTTGTTGTTATTTACGAACCAACATCTGTAGCTGGGGAGCTGTTTTTAAGCCTGCTCATCCTTTCTAAGTCTGTTCTATGGCTTTGGTACTTTCCTTCATAACCTTTTATATCAAGCCTCCCATCCTGTACCACCCCATCTTCCTTCTCCTTTCCTTCGGTGTGCATGCACACTGGCACATTCACGCGCGTGCACAAGCACACATACGCACACTGAATTAAAGGACATTATGCATTCTCTGAACTTTTTAGGCCTGGTGTATGCCAAGGTTCATATTTTTTAAAAAGATTTATTTATTTATTTATTTATTTGACAGAGAGAGAGAGAGATCACAAGTAGGCAGAGAGGCAGGTAGAGAGAGAGGGGGAAGCAGGCTCCCTGCCAAGCAGAGAGTCTGATGCTGGGCTAGATCCCAGGACACTGGGATCATGACCCAAGCCGGAGGCAGAGGCTTTAACCCACTGAGCCACCCAGGAGCCCCCAATTTTTTTTTTAAGAGGAAAAGAAATAGAAGTAAAGGGGGTACAGCCAGTGTTGCCAGAGTGGTGGTTATTTAGGCATAGTGTTTGGAACTTAACTTGCTTATTTTTAGTGTGAGTTGAGGAAGAGAGAGAAAGATTAACAGAGGACAAGTGAGGAAGTGGGTGGAGCTGAGAAAGCTCTCGGAAGCTTTGGTTTCCCTACTTTTTTCTCCTGTTTTTGTTTTGTTTTGTTTTTCTGGTATGAGTTTACTCTGTGGGTGAAGGATTCCTTCTTGCATTGCAAAAATGTTAGACTGCTAAGCCTTACATGAAGTTGTTCCTAAGTTGATATTTGTAACTTAGTGACATTTTGGTAAGCAGACAAAAAACATGTTTTGGGGAATGATTGTAGTAGAAAAATATGCCTTTGAAAAATAGAAATTATTGAAATTTTACTAATTCAACTGAATTGAAAAGTCTATCGGAAGTCTGAGCCTAGTCATTAAAGAAAGCTCTATTCCAAATTAACTTGTTTTTCATCCACATGTTCTTATTAAAGAAGAGCAAATTGGTTGAGGAATTGTGATTGCATTAATCATACAATTTAAATGTGGTATTTTACGGTATAACAGTAATTTATTGATGCCATTTTTATTTTTTTATTTTTTTCCTTTTCTATGTTGTAAAATAAGTGAATAAAATCTCCTATGCCGCCTTGCCTTCCTGTTGAGTGAACACTGAATTTTCTGTTTCAGGACTAACTTTTTTTTTTTTTTTTTTTTATGTTAAGTAGGGTTAGTTTCAGTAATTTATAAGATTAATTGCATTGTGACTTTTTTGGTGTTAGAATTTTGTTTCAGAATCCGAATCCTCATTTCCTATTCTCCTTTGAAAGAGGTGGTTTATATCACTTAAAGAAAGCAATTCCACTTGGACTGGTGCTACTTTGTTTGGGAGGGAAGTTCACACCTTGCAAGTAGCTAACTTTTCACATCTTCCTAGATGTCTGTCCAGCTGAGTTAGCACTTCTGATTTTGTAACCCAGCATCCTAATAGGAACTGTGAAAAAAACATACAAAAAAGAAAACAAAGTATCTTTACCCAGTAACAGGGCCTAAAAATAGTCTCCTTTGTAGACTAAACACAGTTGAGGCCTCTCAGCTGATATGGCCCTCCCTGGTAATTTAGGTCAGTTTCTATAAAAAGTTGGTATAGGAGACTATCTTAGATGCTTTTTATTTTAACTTAAAACACATAAATGTACATTTGTTCACCTGTCTTTTGACACAGTAGCCTTTGCTTGATACCACAGGAAGCCACTCAATCTTTGTAGTTTTCTATGCATTATAGGTAGTTTCTTTACTCATTGATACTGAATGATACATACATTATGCATTATATTAGGAGCACTTAACCTGTTGCTGAAATATTTATCTTTGGATTTGAAAAATACATTTCAGTGAGGTATGGCCCAAAGTATAGATTGCTGTGAGATACAGATATATATCAATCTGTATCTATATAGATCTATATGTTTATCAGAAATTACCAAATCAAGACACTCAGTCTTCATTCATTCTTTTATATCTTTTATTCTTTGTCTGTATCTTTTATTCTTTGTCTATAGAGTATTTTATACCATATTTAAATTCACTACCTTGCCAGCAAATCCCTTCTTCCAAAAATGATGTAGGGATACTCTCTGATTCTTTTTCCTAAGATTGTATGCTGTATTGGATCTAGTTTAGGAAAATATGTTTTCATCTGTCTAGATCAGCTCTGCCAGGAGAAATATAATGTAAATAATATGTAATTTAAAATTTTCTAATAGCTACATCAAAAAGAATAAAAATAAAGAGGTAAAGTTACTTTGAATAATGTATTTTATTTAGCCCAATGTATCCAGAAATTTACCATTTCAGTATTTAATCAGTATAGACACTGGCTGAACTACTCTACCTCTTTTTCATAGTGTGTCTTTGAAAATTGTGTATTTTACACTTACTAGGTATCTGTTTGGATTAGCACATTCCAAGTGCTCCATGGCCCCTTTAGCAAATGGCCGTATTAGCGCAGATCTGGATGGTATCTTCTTGTCCTCCCAAAATTTCTTAAATGAATTCTTAGTTTTAATTATTGTTTATCCCTATTGTAGCAGTCCTCAAAGTGTTATCTTCCACATCCTTATAAAGGTCCATGAGGTTGCAACTACTTTTAGGGTACTAAGATGTTATTTGTCTTGTCTTATTTCCACTCATTCTCCTGAGTATAGAGTGTAGTTTTCTAAAGCATACATGACTTGCTATTCCAACAAATTGAATGCAGAAGCAGAAGAATCCAGCTGTCTTCTGTGGAACCAGATGTTAAAATAGATTTGCAAAATGTAATGCCCTTCTTCTCACTAAGATTTTTGTTGTTGTTTGAGAAAATATATTTTCCATTATGGGTATATTGTTATCTTAAAAGAAATTGATACATGCAATAATTTTTAAGAGTATAAAGGGATCCTGAGTTCAGAAGGTTTGAGAACCACTACTATATGTTGAATTTTGTTTGTTTGCTTTATATTTGGCATTATTGATGACAACACTTGTGTATTTTCCAAGTAACCAAGTATTATCAAACACCTTAGAATGCCGAATCGTTATTTATTGTATGGAGCATTTTCTAAAATACATTACATACCTCTCAGAAGATACTGAACACAATTTAGCATGTCCTGTTGACTGGATCCCTGTGAAAGCTTTGCATCCACAACTGACCTCACCACAGAGCTCTATGCAGAGTCCATTTCTAGTGTTTGTCTCTTCGGTAAGTAAAACTTCTGCCAATTGGCCTAAATAGCTAGACTATAATATTAATTTTCACTTGATATAGTTTAAAATGCAAGCATTTCCCAGCTTGTTTACAAAACTAGTTAAATATGTTTAAAATGTGTTAGAATAATGAATTTTATAGATGTAAGAATTCAATTTAAAATATTTTTATTTAAAGACCCTAAGGTAGTGAGATATTATAGCTTTAAAAGGTGTTTCATGATGGAACAGAGCCAGCATATTATTCTTTTATCAGTGATTGGTTTAGAATGTGAACAAAAATGCTTTATCTTCTACAGCAGCTTTTGGGGAATAGAGGATTAGCAAGGTAAATTTTATCAGAATTTTGAATAT